GAGAAAGGGTGATTCGTTGTATGTCAAATGGCTTGGGTTCCCAAGTAGCCAGAACTCATGGATTTCCACTAAGGATGTCCAAGGGAGCACATCATGAGCCGGGAGCATGCCCGAGTTCACGCACAAACCTCACATGATTTTGAAAATATACATGGGAATGGATGTGGATTTGAAATTTTAATGGAGTTTGAACATTTATATAGGCTTGTATTGGACAAGATCTAAATATAGCTGGTCTTTAAAAAAGTGGCCAAAAAATGAGCCATATTCCAGACGTGATTTTTAGTATTAACAAAAGTAGAAAATTTATATAGGGGTGTATAGGTCGAGAGCTGGGTCTTTAAAAAAGTGGCCAAAAAAATGAGCCACTCATTTTTCTCATTTTTCCCCTATAAAAAGTGCCCTAAAAGTGCCTCTAAAACGCCGAAAGTGGGGTCATATTCTGGTATTATATCTACTTAGATTTTGCCATATAACTTCGTAATTGACTGGACTGCCGCAATCATACTCATACTGATTATTCTACACATTGTATATTACCATTAGAATATCTCAAAATTGATGTGATGGGCTTAGGAAAAAGATTGTGCACTTTTCCTGACGCAAATTCCTATCAACCATATAGATTTTGCCTTATACCTTCGTAATTCACTGGACTGCCGCAATCATACTCATACTGATTATTCAATAAATTGTATATTAGCATTAGAATACCTCAAAGTTGATGTGATGGGCTTAGGAAAAAGATTGTGCACTTTTCCTTACGCAAATTCCTATCAACCATATAGATTTTGTTATATAACTTCGTAATTCACTGGACTGCCGCAATCATACTCATACTGATTATTCTAAACATTGTATATTACCATTAGAATACCTCAAAGTTGATGTGATGGGCTTAGGAAAGAGATTGTGCACTTTTCCTGACGCAAATTCCTATCAACCACATAGATTTTGCCTTATAGCTTCGTAATTCACAGGACTGCCGCAATCATACTCATACTGATTATTCTATACATTGTATATTAGCATTAGAATACCTCAAAGTTGATGTGATGGGCTTGGGAAAAAGATTGTGCACTTTTCCTGATGCGAGTTCCTATCAACCATATAGATTTTGCCATATAACTTCGTAATTCACTGGACTGCCGCAATCATACTCATACTGATTATTCTAAACATTGTATATTACCATTAGAATACCTCAAAGTTGATGTGATGGGCTTAGGAAAAAGATTGTGCACTTTTCCTGACGCAAATTCTTATCAACCATATAGATTTTGCCTTATAGCTTCGTAATTCACTGGACTGCCTCAATCATATTTATACTGAGTATTCTACATATTGTATATTACCAATAGAATACATCAAAGTTGATGTGATGGGCTTAGGAAAATGATTGTGCACTTTTCCTGATGCGAGTTCCTATCAACCATATACATTTTGCCATATAGCTTCGTAATTCACTGGACTGCCTCAATCATATGTATACTGAGTATTCTACACATTGTATATTACCATTAGAATACATCAAAGTTGATGTGATGGGCTTAGGAAAAAGATTGTGCACTTTTTCCTTATGCGAGTTCCTATCAACCATATAGATTTTGCCTTATAGCTTCGTAATTCACTGGACTGCCTCAATCATATTTATACTGAGTATTCTACACATTGTGTATTACCATTAGAATAGCTCAAAGTTGATGTGATGGGCTTGGGAAAAAAGATTATGCACTTTTTATGTTCGGAGTTTTAATTGTTCGCGTTATGTTAAGCCTTAGCTACGTATAATGTACAGTACGGTCTCAAATATGCCTTTTAAAATACGTCAATTAATTAGTTTTAACTTGTATACACGTTTTATCAACGTATTATTGACATTATATAAATATAAAAACATCATTTCGCATCGTATTGTCATTGATTTGTGTTTCCGACATCCCTGCAAAACACGTTTGTGGCGTCCGCAGGCGTACCAACCCACATCTATTACAAACCGAAAAAGCGCCGATGAAAAGAGCCGCTAACTTCACGACGGTTATCCACCACTGCCTATCTCCATTCTGTTGTCAGCTGCTATTTTATTTTTGCGTCTGCCTCCTGTCTTCTGTTGTGGATGGATATTTTTATTTAGGTTTTTGAAGAAAGAAAATGGCGTCTTTATCGCCGTCAGCGGTGAGATATTGTTTTTATTTACTTCTCTATCGTATACTTAGGACTATTTTATAGTTTTAAAAGAATATCAATATTATCTTGTTTCCGTTGATTTATTTTAAAACCACAAGTGATATAACACCTTGAAATTTAACATACGTTAACCTCACTAAAAACTGCCAAGAGACTTAGCTTGTAGAACTAGTTATTATTATCTTAAATTATTTACTTCAAATGTAGCACGTAATAATACAAAAGATAATTTTTTCGCACCCCTCAACACATCCACATACACACAACTAAAAACAATACACTACCAATTTTGTTTTAATTCAGATGACATTTTAGAGTCCATAGGCTACTGGTCTTGGTCTTATAGTTTTTTGTCATCCCTATCAGTTTTTAAGATAACAAACTAAAGGTGTAATTGATATTTTTTAGATAACATAAAGGAGGAAGCTATGAGGAGAACAAATAACTGGTTATAGAAAGCTAGATTATTAAGAAAATAACTCTGTTTTTCTAACATTGACATTGTCTCCGAATCTCCAGCTAGGTCCATTTAAGATAACTTGTTCTCATTGCAACTAAGATAACTTAAGTGTAACAGACAATTTAACATTAACTTTGAGTATTACTTAGGCTAGTTAAGTTAGTTAGTTTACCAATAGTGTTTTCCCTCGGTCTGCAAAGTACTTCTTAGGCTTACACTCTATTATTTATTTTAGGTAGGTAACTTAACGAATGAGCATATGGGAGGGACAATGGCTAAAGGTGTGGTGATGTCATATCTATAGTGGCTAATGTCTTCTCTTGAGGCAACACAATTACCGTAACGAGACGATGTGTTTCCAGTGGTGGTCGTGGCATAGTTGGTAGCGTTTCGGACTAGTGTTCAGAAGGTCCCCAGTTCGAAACCAGCCGGGATCACTATCTTTTTGCCAAAGACTTTGCTTTGAATGCGACCACTTCTTAACTTAGAGTTTTATGCATTTATAATTTTATTTATGAACAGAACTTTTTTTTTAAATAGTAAACCTTTAACTTATTTGATTTTTATCTCATATCTTTTTTATATTAACTTATCAGTAAGTTTGGTTGGTTAGGTTAGGCTATGACAGTTTAATTTTCGAATACTGTACTAAATTTTAAATAAATGTTGTAATTAAAAATTATAGGCTAAGTTGAAAACATTTATTTGATTTTTATCTTATATTTTTTTTTATTATCAGCAAGTTTGGTTGGTTGGGTTAGGTTATGACAGTTTAATTTTATAATTAAAAATTTTAAAATTAATTTTAGGATTAAAAATTTATTTTATATTTAAAAAGTAATTTTAAAGCTAAAAATTGTAATAATAATTTCAATTATTTTCAACTTAGCGGTTCTAGCGGCGAACGCTGACACTACAAGATATGTTAGCCATAACTTAATCCCTCCCGTGTGCCCCACTTTGGTATGCCCACAGTGTTGTGAATTCAGGGATAATATTTAGTCTATATTTACCACATACTTCATTGTAGACTTCATTAAATCTGATGCAGAGTTTCTGAATTTCTATTGAATGCAATAGTACAAACAGCGGAATGTAACAATTTCTTCAGGATAATTGGTTTATTTGTTTTTTGTTTTTAGCAGTCTACTTAAGTTGTGATCTGTAGCTTATTTGTACCTAGAAGAAAAAAAGAAAAGAAAAAAAAAACTTGTAAGAGTGAATTTATCATGACCCAACTGATTTTACTGAGCCCCTCCAAAGCAGAACTATATTCAACAGTGCGACATTGTTGCAGAATGACAAGGAGTTTCGCAGAAAGCCTAGCCAGACTGGTTGTTTTTTAAATTTTTTAATAATTTTTTTACAGGCAAAGTTAGAGCCACATGGCCCTTTTTTACACTTAACTTTTTTGTACCGATAAGTTTCTGCAAAAAATGCTACATAACAAGAAAAATTCTTTTTTTTGCAGAAAATATTTTTTTGTAGATATTTGACAACTTAATTTTCAGCAGAAAGATTCTCTGCAAACAGTAAGGTTACAAAACGTCATGCATTACACAAACGAAAGCTGCAACGTCAATATTTGGTGCATTTATTGTGAGGAAGAACGCATAGAATAACCGAATTACGTAGCAAAGCGATTGAATGTAAATAACAGTAGGCGTTTTCTATCCGATACGAGTGTTTGAAAATTTCCAAATATCTATCACACACCTGGTTCATTTACACGCAACTAGGACCGCGTAAGCCCGCAGAAACATATTTTTGAATTTCGGATAGCCCAAGTCAGATGCAGAAAGTTTAAAAATGCTCTGCTTTGGGGCGGACCCCTTTTTGTTGTTAAACAACTTTCTTGTTTAGCCTATAAAAAGGCCAGAAACCAGCTCTGAACCAGAACTAACTATGCAGTGTTGCAAAAAAGATTCTGCTTTACCGGGCTTGAGGAATGCAATTTTAAATTATTTATTTCAGTAAAATTCATCTTGAAGACTATGAAAAATAAAGACAACATTAGTTCAATTGGTATTAAGAATTTTATACAGGAAACGTTTATCAAAACAAATTACAGTAGGCCTAGACTTCTTTTTAACATAATCTGAACAAATTAAAAAGCAAATTTTAAAATTTTGTACTTCTTTATTTTTTGTATTATTACGACTTTAATGAATGTAGAGCTGTTAAGTTTTTATATTTAATTGAATTAAATACATTGTCATGATACCAATAGCACGTTTGCACGTGTTCTATGAAGCCTTACAACAAAACAAAATGGGATTAACTCACACTATTGTGAAGTGGTTTCTCAGTTTTCTCCTAGCCTTCGGATTGTGAATATTCACTCTGTAACTCTACTTTAATTTTCCTTCTTTTCTTTCCTCCTTAAAATTTACGCTTTTACTTATGTAAAATGTCTTCCTTATTCAAAAAGGCAGCAAAAGAAATATCATCTGAGACTCGGCTGGAGGTATTTATCGTTTTTATTGTCAGATAACAAGTTTGCATTCCAGTTCCAATAACTGTTCATAAGGTCTAGTTGATAACGGTTTATGATTCCTTTTATTAGTTAATCTAAGTCGAAATAGTTAAGTTTTTATGTGCTCAGTTTGTGAACGTGGTACAGTCAGTGATAAAATGGAAAATTTGAATACAGTATTTGGTTTTTACATATTTTTGGTTTAACATAAAGCATGACATAAAAATGTAGTCAATGTAATCTGTCAGGCCTACTCTTCATAGGCTATTTAGGATTGGGGTGAAGAACTTTTGTTACTTTACATTTTCACATATTTTAACAGAAAAGCCATTCTTGTTCTTTGCAGCAATTAAGGTCATATGGATTTTAACATCAGCTTTATAATCAAGCAGTCAACAAAATAAAATAATTGAGCCCAGTACAGAGCCTTGAGTGACTCCTGCGCCAATTGTTTTAGAGACATTTGTGGATTATTGTAATTTCTCTCAGTTTTCTCTACCAGCTCAGTTGTGTAACTTAAAAGTGCCTTGAGTTGTTTACTAATTCTTGCCTTACGATGTATATAGCCTATATTTATTTATATATTTCGTCCTTCGTCACTAACAAGATCGCGCCACTCATACTACACCCATATTTGGGTCAAAATATACACTTAGTAGCGTCCCCATCTTAAATAGCCTAGGCCTAATTGATAATTGAAGCTATTTATGTTTCGGACTTGTAAATAAGTTAATCTACAAAACTCCCATAAATAACTTGATAAAAGCATACCGGTACCTAGTTAAATAACGTTTTATTTAGTCCAACCATGCAATGTTGGTACCTATATTGTTTTAACAAATTTACCACAATGAATTGAATTTTGATTGCTGTAACAAACTGGCTAAACCATTTGCTGGTGCAACATTGGTTTGACACATAAATAAACATTTGAATGATAAAGTTGAATGGGAAAGCTAATTTGTTTTTAGATAACAAATTTAACCTCGGTGATAGCCTTGGGAACTACTCACTATAGCTTATAACAAAAGTTATAGTATACATTTTTCTTCAAAATTTTTTCCTCATTGTTGAAAGTTCTTAATATTTTGTTTACAATGTTACAGAGACGACTGCAGAAAGAGTTGATGTCCCTCGTAAAAGAGCCCCCTCCAGGCGTCATAGTAGATAGCAGTTTAGCAGAACAAAACTTGAATGTGTGAGTTGTATTTACTTACCTTCAGAGAATTCCTCATTACCTATGCATAAAACCTATGTTTTTTTTAGTGGATTCCTACAGACTCGTCATAATGTGGACTAAAAGAGTGCTGAGATTGAGAAATGCCAGGTTATTTGGATATAACCTAAATTAAAGCTCAGGTGTTACTAACTTTTATACTAAATTTTCCATACCAAAAATCTTGAAATACATAAATTTGACTTGTTGAAGTAATTATGCATGACAGACTTTTTTCACATATTCGAGGCTATTGCACTGACTGACAGGTAGTCTGTTAGCAAGAAATTCTCCACTCATTATGTAAGTGTGAGCCGCAAGTCTCGTCTGCAAAAATGACGGATTGCCAAAAGGAGAAAATGGCTACTGAGCCAAGAGTGAATCTTGAGAATTGAAGAATTGATCACTGGCGATCAAACTAGTTTGAACATTTAAAATAGTTTAAAAATATAGTATTTTTACATCAGTTTGGCAGTGTTTGACAGTTTGTTTTTGAATTACTTAAATGTTATTGTTTTGTCTGTTTTCAGATGGACTATACAAATGAAAGGTGCTGATGGAACGTTATACGAAGGGGAGAACTTCACTCTACAGTTCAAATTTAGCTCAAAATACCCATTTGACTCTCCGGAGGTAAGAGGTTATCTATGCATTTTACTTTTTTTTTACTAAATAAAATCACATCAGTTCATAAGTTGTTGTATCAGTAGACACGATACACTCTCAGAATTAGCTGTTAACATAATGCTATAAACATTTAAGAAACAATCTGAATTAAGTAGTGATGGACGAATCATGACATTTCGAAATCCCAATCTTTGGGCTGAGTTATATTTAATTTGGGATTTTCTCTGGGCTGGATTCGTTTCAACTGTCAGTGATTTTGCCGTGATGGTGAGTGACGATGTTTCTGCAGTCGCTGCAAAGGAGAGTGAAGATAATTAGTGTATGTCGTATTATGAGATTATGACTCTGCGATCGCAAGATATGATAAAAATTACAGATTGTAGTCATGATGTGATTGTTACAAATACTTACTGTATTACAAAATTTATGAGTACCAAGGCTAATTCTGCTGTTCTTTTGGTAATGATACCAGACCAAGACTGTTTTAGTGTGGGATGCTAGAGGTTTTAGGCGTGTTTTTAGGAAGAGAATTATTCCCCCACGTAGGTCCCTTAGTTGCCGTTGGCGGTATGGGCTGTTAATTAACAGCTATGTTTAAGGAACATGTCAGCCTTAGTCACTAACAAGATTACAAAATCACGCCACTCATCCATCACTCAAATTTGGGTAAAAACCGCACAGTGGCGATCCCTGATAATTGATTGAGGGGCCAAATTATCTCTCAGGCCCATAGTGCAGCACATGCTAACCGCGGGTTTGTATCAGACGTGCCTTTAAACAACATATTTTTCAAAAATGAGCTCTGTGATAGCCTAAATACCTTTTTGTGATGAGCCAGTGGTTTTTATAATAAGACTAAGTAATGTTTTTACAGCTAAATTGTTCCAAAATTTTAATTTTTAATTTTTGTGAACAATTTTTATTATCCGTTTTTTTTATGCAATACTTAATTTTGTAAAACAGTTCAATAAAGACTGAACATTAATTTTCTTTGTCATCATTGCCATTTGATAGAATTTTTACTCAAGATTTTTTAGTTAAGTTTTTGTAAGGGTTGAAATATCTCGTACTGTTCCCATCCCGAAAATAAGGAAGGAATTAAAAACCCCTTCCCATCCAGAACTAAAAGTACACTCCCGCCCATCCCTTCCATAATGGTTTATTTCTAAAGCTATTACAAAGTAAAATATATTCTATAAAGCTGCTATCTCTAAGGACTTGAAGGTTAATTGACTGATCCGAAGTTTTGTAGACTTTTTCTTTGGTATCTATTTTTCTTGTATCAAGATTAAATAGGTGCATGTCTTTGACTTGTGTGTGTTTAAGATGTTAATTGACACAAGTTAGTATTGTAACCAATTTAGAGTTTTGTGTTGTTGGTTCGCAGGTAATGTTCGTAGGTTCAAACATCCCTGTACACCCGCATGTCTACAGCAACGGACACATCTGCCTGTCTATCCTGACTGAAGACTGGAGTCCCGCGTTGTCCGTACAGTCCGTCTGCCTGTCCATCATCAGCATGTTATCCAGCTGTAAGGAGAAGGTAACGTGTGCTATCATTACTAAGTGTATTGATGTTGAGTTTGGTATTTACTATGATCGTGAAATATACCTATGAAGGCGAAAAACTTACAAGACCCCGGATAGGATACGAGCAGTGTGAGCAGCGCTGCTCTGCTCTGCTCCGACATCAGGTTGTATTTAGTTGCGTGTAAATTTGTTGAGGGTGGCCATGATACGTCTGAGAGGCAAACGGCGGTAAACGATGCCGTTCATGGTTAAAAGTCCAAACCAATTCACGAAATCGCTGAAAATGTCAGAGGAACAGCGCTCAGCAAACCCGTGAGCCTCCAGCCAAACTCAAAAATACAGAGGTGAAGTTAAGTTGTTCTCAAATAGAAGTGTGGATAAGAGAGGTACAGTCCAGGGAATGTTTAAGGAATGACCAGCACGAAGGTTTTAAAAACACTTTAGTCACCAGAAAACAATGAGACGAAAAGGGAGCTTAGTGTTCGTAACAACAAAGTTTTTCTTCAAAAGAGAATTGTCAGATAACAATATTTGCAAATACGTCTTGCGGGTCAGCACAGTTTGCCATCTTTGAATAAACTGACTCCTACACACCAGAAATTCGATGAGTGTTATAAATGTGCCGTTTGTATCATAGCCTCCTCCGCTGCTTTAAGGCTCAGGCTGTTAGGTTGTTCCTCACTGCTCATATCATACGCGAGGCCTAAGACATAGGCCAATGGTTAAATTAAGGTCAAGAGTCATAAATAAATGGAGCAGAATACAGGCTTTGGGTGTGTCGCAAGTGAGATAGCGTATTTTACTACGGGGAGGGAAAAGATTGATACCCAACATCTACAAAACTTTGAAACTATTAGATTTGGATTGCTTTCCCCTAGGAGATTTTGTGAATTTATTGTTTCAAATGCCACTTAAAGTAAATCAAGTGTGATATGGTTAAGATAGAGCAGCAATGTTTATGAAAGCTTTAGAAGGAGAAAGTATTAAGAGAGAGTTAAGAAAAAATCTACAAAAAAGAATTGGTGGAAGAAGAAAGGATACTAAGATGAGGGATGTAAAGGGGTAAAGACAGATAGGGACAAGAGAGGATGTATGGTAGATGGCGGAGGAAAAGGGTACCTATTTCAGTTGTGGTCTGGAGGGCTGGGTTGGCATCCTAAGCCGGGCATTATTCGCATGAGTGGTGGCTGCTAAGACTTGAGTTCACACCAAATGGGACTAGTTGTTTTGCACTGTACCATACCATGGCATGCATTATGACGGGATGTGAGCATACTCCCAATTTAGAACTGCGGGAAGTTTATTACCCTGTTATTTTAACTGCCCTGGCACTCACATATGATTGTTTCTGTCAGCAATTTATGTATTTACAGTTCTTTGGTAGGCTAGATTTATTTTTACATTAGCTCATTTCATTATACTCCATTCATAAAATTTAGGCAGTTGTAGGGGCAGCAATTCCATCCCCTCCACCTTATCTTACCTTTGAAACAACAGATGGACAGCTGTTATTAAGCTCAAACTGCCAATCAGCTGTTACATAATAAAAATGGAACCCAGAAAAACTTCCACTAAAACATGACTAAATTTTGTTATTGGACTTCGACTATAGTATGGAAGTGGAAGTGAATCAGTTAGTTTCATGTGTTCTTCAAAATTTTATTAAAATGCTAATTCATTCCTCATTGTCTAGATTTATATTAACCATTCATGGACTTGTTCCAGTAACAATTTATCTATTCTATATATAATTCAGTTTTAAAAATCTTTGTATAACTAAATCTAGAGTTCTACTGGACCGATTTTATAAATTAATGGGTCGTTTGAAAGCTCAATTCAAGTAGATTTACAAATAATTATGAAAGTTTGTTTTCGTTATGATTTATGGTGAAATATTTCAAAAAAACATGTTTTCCATAAGAAATACATTGAAAACGGTGTTTTTCACACTTTTTATTTGGGTGAGACTTTTGGCTGCCTTTTTTGAGTGTTTCCAAGAAGTGTATGGTATCAATTTGTAGGAAATTTTATTCTCTTTCAGAATATCACCCTCCACTTTGGTCGATTTCCTCGCCATTTAAAAGTTATTTGAAAAAAAGCTAAGCAAGCTCCGAATTTATAGTAATGAGAAAATACTGAGTTAGGGATATTTTTATTAAACTTTGTACAACTAAATCTAGACTTCTACCGGACCGATTTTGTTAATTAATGGGTAATTGGAAAGCCCAACTCATATAGATTTGCAAATATTTATGAAAGTGTGATTTTATTAACATTTTGTGGTAAAAGAGTAAAAATTACAAAAATACATTAAAAACTACTTTTTCAAGTTTCTGTTTTCAAGTTTCTATTTGTAGCCAGCTTTTGGCTACCTTTATTAAGCGGTTTCAAGAAATGCATAGCAGTTGTTTGTAGTAAATTTTATTCTCTTTCAGAATATAACATTCACTTTGGTCGATTTCCCATCCATTTAAAAGTTATTGGCAATAATCTAAGTTATCTCCAAATTTATAGTGGTGAGAAAATACTGAATTGGTTATATTTTTGTTAAACTTTGTACAGTTGAACCTCTATAAGACGAATTTCAAGGGGTACGGGAAATATTCGTACAATAGAGGTATTCTTAATAAAGAGGGTCGTTTTATCGAGGTTTAATGCTGCTGTTATTCTTCTTATAGAGGTTTCTCCTTGCTCCAAGGTTTTTCCAAACAATGATTGAGGAAGGAGGAGGGATGGGTGGGGGTTTCATGTTGAGACAAGCTTCTGTCTGTTTTGAAAACTACGTACTATGGAGGTTAAGATTATGATAAATTCGTCTTATAGAGGTCACGTTCGTCTTGTAGAGGTTTTGTGTTAAGAATATTCGTTGTATAGAGGTTAATCAGTCCTAGCCCATGTCACAAACAAATTCGTCTTATGGAGGTTTTTAACTTAATTACTACGTTGTATAGAGGTGTTTTTAGCATTGACCTATATGAAAGTGTCAAGGGGATTAAAAAAAATTCGTCTTATCGAGGAATTCGTTTTAACGAGGTTCGTACAAACGAGGTTCAACTGTACAACTAAATCTATACTTCTACCGGACCGATTTTGTTACTTAATGGGCCGTTGGAAAGCCTAATTTGTGTAGATTTGCAAATAATTATGAAAGTTTGATTTTATTTTATAAATGCCTTTTTTTCTAAGTTAATATTTCCAAGTTTATATTTGTAGCCATCTTTAGGCTGCCTTTATTGAGTATTTTCCAAAAATACATAATAGTAATTTGTAGGAAATTTTATTCTCTTTCAGAATATTACGTTCCACTTTGGTCGATTTCCTCACCATTTCAAAGTTATTTGCAAAAACGTTAAGCAACCTCCCAATTGATAATGGTGAGAAAATACTGAACTAAAGATTTTGTACAATTAAATTTACAGTTCTACTAAACCGATTTGATTAATTAATAGGTCATTGGAAAGCCTAATTCGTGTAGACTTTCAAATAATTATGAAAGTTTGATTTTTTTTATTTACTAGGTGAAACCCGTCAAAGTCTGACAGTTGCTGTTGAGGTTGCAAGAAAGACCGTTTGACTATAAACCGATGATAAAGAACTCCATTTTTTTGTAATTTGGGTTGTTCTTGATTTAGCAGTGTGCTTTAGGTACGTCCGATCTTAATAATCAATAATTAAAATGGAAGCTGGTATTTCACTGAAGGTTCTTAGTTCAAAACAAATAGAATAACGTAATTAGAATTGAGTAAATATATCTAAAACTAAATCCAAGATATAATTAATATTATGTTTTCTGCGATTCAGGATATCTTTAACTTAGCCGATGAAAACTATCAATATCTCAAGTGAAAGCCTTTGAAGTATTTTAAGACCAAGACATATAAAATAACTTAAATAAAAGTTGAGTTACGTATCTTAGATTGCAGATAAGTACCTAAACGATTATAATTATTGTTGATTCGTGATTCAGCAGTGTGATTTAGGTAGGATTATTAAGATTGGAATCTTAATAATCAATAGCTCAAATGAAAGCTGGTATTTCATTAAAGGTTTTTAGACCAAAACATATAGGGTTATGTAATTAGACCTGCTGGAATACATCTTTAATTGAAGTAAAGAATCAAAAAAATCAAATTTATATTTTTTTCGTTGAGTAATACATTAGATAAATTGATGATGATGCTTGATGACAAATATATGCTTGCACAGTTTAATTTTAAGACCAAAATTATGAAAATCAGGCTGGTAGAAGAGCCAAACGAACTCGAAAAAAATTTAACTCCCATAAGAAATGTACAGGGACACATTTTGTGCATAGCTCGAAATATACGTCAAAATGAATGCCGATGATTGATGGCAAATCTGTGGTGCGTCCATACCTTTAGTTTAAGGCCAAAATTATGAAAATTGGTCGGGTAGAAGACCTTTAAACCCGACTCAGAAAAGAACACCAATAATTTTTATAGATGGCAATAATTTGTTTACCAGTATGCATAATCTAAACATACGAAACATGTGTTATTAAATTAACAGCTTATTGTAAAAAATTGTTATTTAATCGATTTTTCTTTGATTAAATGTTGTTGTTAACAATTTGCATTTGTGTTTAAAGTGAGTTCCTTATGTTAAGTATGCGATTCTAATGTTATGTGCTTAATCTGTACCATTAATATTAGTGAGTAAAGTGATGTATGGATTTCACAACCATTATTTTAATAGAGACCGTTGTATTTAACCACAACGGGCTCTGTAGCTAGTAAATTAATAAATTCCACTGTATCTAGTATTCTGATCAGTACTGTTAACTCATTAAGACTAAATTCCTTGTCTGTTGTGGAAACTTAATTTTATTGTAGCCTATTTTTCATTTTAAATTCAACTGAAGCTGTTTAATGTATTAAAACAAAGTTGGCTCTATTTTTAAACATGGATGAAACAAGGCAAAATTTTTAAATGATAGAACTACATAAAATAGGCAATAAATAAAAATGATCCACATCTGAACCAAATGATTTAGTGTCAAGCAATTTTTATTATTTTTGAAATTCTTTGTCTACAATTCAACTTAATTTATGCAAATAGTGTCACAAAAGCATATATATATATAATATATAGTTTATTGTTTGTCCTGTAAATATAGGATGTCAGAGTTAAAGCAATTTCTCCAATAAATGTATTATTTCAATTTTAATTACATATTTTATTTTTTTTTCAGAAACGGCCTCCAGACAATACGTTTTATGTTAAGACCTGCAACAAAAATCCAAAGAAAACAAAATGGTGGTACCATGGTAAGTTGCATTTTTTCAACACATGTTGATTTAGGTTAATAAATAGTTTTAGCAACACAAGTATGATAGTCAACCGTGATGTTAGGCACGAGGGTTACATAAACTAGCGAGTATAGCTCTACAAAAACAACTGAAGACTATACTTGACATGCACTGCAGCCATGGTGTCAAATTTAGATTCAAAAGTTTGCAAATCCCAAAAATTTCTCCGGGTTGAACCGAGCCATGAGTTAGCCAGAAATAATTTTTGGGTCAAACTCGGCTCGGGTTATTCATATTATAAGCATTTAAAGAGGCTCTATTATCTAGGTGAGCTTTTATTTTAGCAACTGCTGAAAGAGTACAAAGATTGCACAGTTGATTGAATATCGACTGTTTTGCCGCGATTGAGCAAGACGAAAATGATGTAATTGCGGTACCACGGAAAATGTTCATGATTCCGCTGCCAATGCAGAAGACTACGGTTTACCGATACTGGCAGAAGACGTTTAAGGTTTTGCTTGAGTCCTCAAGAGATGTTTATGAATTCACTTCGTCCGTGGGAAACATTCACTATCTCGTCAAGACCTGACAGGACATTCACAATTTTGCCGCAACCTCAAGAGACGTTCCTGATTTCTCTGCAATAATGGATGACATTTACAATTTTTCCGTGACTAAAAAAGACTATCACGTTAACACTTGGATGCAATAGATGCTCACGATGTTACCACGACCACGGGAGATGTTGATAAAATTTACTGCAACCGCATAAGATGTCCACGATTTCTCTGATTACGGAAGACGTTCGCAATATTATCCTGACCGCAGGAGGTGTTTGCCATTTCTTTTGACAACATGAGACATTAATGATTTCGTCACAACCTCAGGATATATTCACAGTTACATTGCAATCACGAGACGTAATGCGCATCTATATCTATAAAAGAGGAAGTATGTATGTATGTATATACCCTATGGACACCGAAACCGCTCGACAGATTGTAATGAAACTTTCAGGCCTTATTAAACATTATTCAAGGATGGTTTGTGTGAAGTTTGGTGCAGATCCATCAAAAGCGCTCCACCCCAGAGGGTTTTAAAGGGGTTCAATGTCAGACTTTTGGAACTACAATGTTTACGAATAAATTCTATAATCTAAAACAAGCACATGTACGGGAAAATTTTTTTTTCTGTCCGTGGATTTCTAATTTCTTTCTTTAATATGGGGTATTTATCCACGGAAATCGATTGGAGTTGGTCACAAGGCTGGGGAAAATCCACTTTCTGTCCTACAGCCCTTCAAAGTGACAAATCAAAAATCCTTGGACAATCTTGTAAATTAACCTTGAAAACATTTAACAGTAATGTGTATGTAAACCAAACTGAATATAAACTGTACTTTAAAACGTTTAGTCCAAACCAACTAATATAGTTTTTTTATACACTAATAATTAAAAAAAATGATCACAGTAAAATTAATCTGTATCAGCTGTTTGTTAACTTAAGCTACAAAAAGGTATTGACGATAACAGTCATATTGTATATTATATTGGTATTGTACAGTCATCTCTACAATTAATTGCAATTAACCCTCTAGGTGTCGCATTGAACACCTGTAAATGTCACTCAATTTTCAAGACTTTTGCAGAGTTTGATTAAAAAATTAATAACAAATCTAAATGATTATCTATATATATAAAAGGCAAAGCCCTCACTGACTGACTGACTGACTGACTGACTGACTGACTCACTCACTCACTCATCACTAATTCTCCCACTTCCCACTTACCTAGGAGGCTGAAATTTGGTACACTGATTCTTTAGGCATTAAATAGGAAAACTAAGTGGTTTTTATTCTGATCGGACTCTCGGGCTCCGCCCCAGTGGCTCTGGAGTTTCCCATGTTAACCTAATGAGTACTCATATTTAAATGGAATTAATGAATCATAACAGCTGTTTCAATTAAACAAGTTGGTTCTGTTCTATGATATTCAATAGCATTAAAGTTACAAGGATTACCAACAGAGTGCAGCACTATTATTTTTTTAAATATTTGACAACAGCTAATTTGAAACCAAAAGGTGAGTGAGCGTAGCGAACGAACTTCAACCCGGAGGCGAGGTAGCGTAGCGAACGAGCTAACCTGAAGGCAATTGAGCGCAGCGAACGAGCTCCAACCGTAAAGGTGAGTGAGCGTAGCGAACGAACTTCAACCAGGACGTGTGAGCGCAGCGAACGAGCTCCAACCTAAAGGTGAGTGAGCGTAGCGAACGAACTTCAACCAGGACGTGATTGGGCCATGCGAACGAGCTCAAGTATGAAGTTAAACGGGGCAAAGCCCGCGGGTACAGCTAGTATATATATATATATAAAACATTGTATATTTTCCTAAAGCAAATAAAATTGTATATCTAATAATTTATGAATTAAAAAACTTTTTTAAAACAAAACGTTTTTAAACGTACTAAAAAGTAGAAAATAATTTATAAATATGTGGAGAGTATAAATACTTGTAAGATTTAAAACAAAAAATGTGGGGTGCATGCAATAGATAATTTACAATTACCTTCACCTATTGAACTAATGTATTACTATCAATTGCATGCGCCGCACGTTTTTCGTTTTAAATCTTACAAGTATTTATACTCTCCACATATTTATAAATTATTTTCTACTTTTTAGTACGTTTAAAACCGTTTTGTTTTAAAAAAGTTTTTTAATTCATAAATTATTTTCTATACTTTTTAGTTTTGAATGCGTGTGGATGTTAAATCTATTTCAAGCATCTATATCAGATTAAGACAGAGGCATGTGGGAAATCTAAGGTTTATTTGAGTTTCTTTTCGTATCATTATGTATTAGATTGAATGTATGGCATACCTACCAACTACAAAATTATCAATCTATTAAATTTATTGTTTACTTTATAGAATACTAAATAAATAACAATTGACATTATTAGCAAACACCTTTATATCTGCAATCAGATTGTTTATCTTTATTTTGAAATGTTTGTTTGTATATATAATCTCTTGGGAGCATAACCTGTACCTCTTAACCTCTGCTCTTCGAACTGTCAAATTTAAGTATTTACAGCTGACTTAAATTAATTGATATACAGTATTTACATTCTTTCAAAATGTAAACAAGGAAAATTTGGAAGCCGATGGGGCGTAGCCCAAGTGAAATATTAAAATTAAACGATAAAATATTGAATTGTCATCCATTTGTGAGCTATTTTTCAAATTTCAAGTCTCTAGCTCATCAGGAACTTCGTTTAAAATTGACATTAAAATTTGTAGGAAAGCGAGCTAATGAAATCAAGCCCATGGGGCGTAGCCCAAGAGAAATATGAAAATTAAACGATATAATATTGCATTGTCATCCATTTGTGAGCTATGTTTCAAATTTCAAGTCTCTAGCTCATCGGGAAGTATCAAAATTTGCAAGAAAGCGAGTTAATAAAAACAAGCCCATGGGGCGTAGCCCAAGGGAAATGTGAAAATTAAATGACACAATATTGCATTGTCTTCCATTTGTGAGATATATTTCAAGTTTCAAGTCTCTAGCTCATCGGGAAGTTAGTGTAAAATTGATTGCAAAATTTGTACCGGACAAGAAAGCGAGCTAATAAAAACGTTTTAAAAATGTATGATATTTGTGTCTTACCTTGTATTAAAGCAATTTGTTGTTGGTTCAAATCCAGATGTTCCAAAAAAAGTTTTTAATTTTTTACATAACTGCACATGTAAAAAAAAATCACTATATTTACAAAAACTGAGGTATACATTTTATTCTAAATGTAATAAGGAAAAAGAAAATATAGTTTCTCCCTGTTTTTCTTTAAAATAACTCTAAAATCACGACACACAACAACAGTAACAACGTAAACATTCGTTCCCTAGCAACCGAAACAAACAATGACATATGGAAAAACTATCACAGAACAAGATAAATAGTTCGGGAATTGGTCGTCTTTTATACTCACCATGAAGCCCAGAATCTCCTGTCACGTTAGTATGCCCAATGACCGGGTTTGTTCAATCTTGTGGGATTATATCAACTGAAACCTTATGGCCTGTCAAGTCGCCGTAATTACGTCGATTGGCACCTAAAGGGTTAATGAATTTAATTAATTTAATGCCACTAGCATCTAGTGGTGTAACGCCAAGGGTTGTTGAGAGTCTTGCCTCATTCCACCCTCCACACCATCCCAATTCATACTCTGTACACTTGTTCATGATGATTTTTATTAATTTCTAATACATTCTTGTTTTCAAAGTGATGCATTAGTTCATGTTAATTACTTTTGCAGTAACCAACTTTTTTATGTTTTCAGATGATTCTGTATGAAACCAAATCAACCACAAAAACACCTCGCCGCGGTCAGGCATCGGAGGATACGAAATACTTCTTAATCTTCTCGCTAACTGTTGATAAAAATTTACTAGATTGACTTTTAAATGCTGTGAAAATCATTTTAAAGCCCTGTATTTTTTTAGAAAACTGTTCATAAATCATGTAGTTTATACTTGTTTGGTTTCTATTATTTGTAAGGATTTTCTGTATTCCAGGTTTGTATATTTTGCTTGCGCTCTTCTCTCTTTTAGTATCTTTGTTGCAGATTTTTAATCACCCAATTAAGCTTTTAATTTTGTTACGTAATGTTTGTATGATCACAAACAAAAAATACAATAGTTTTTCAAAATAAATATTTTTTTTTAATCTGAACTTTTAAATGATTGAGTTTTTTAAGTTGTATTATAAACATTATTGGATCAATTTTAGTAATTTTCGTAGCCAAAACATAATTTGATAAAGGTAAAAGTAGACAAATGTTTAGTTATTATTATTTCCAAGCCAAAGATACTTGAGAGTTTGATCTTGTTAGTTGTAAAATTAGTTGTATTTATTGACCGTCTGAATGACTTTTATTTCTAAGCAGCTCAACGCTTCATCACTTGTTCTAAGTCAGGCTCTTTGCTTTATCCTACGTCTTAGTTTTTACTGTAGATTTTGCTTATTTTAATAGATAGTTTTTAAATCTTAGGCTTGTATGCAACAGCAATTGAAAATTGAAACAATTACACAAGTCATGGACTAATGGAGTTGTTTAGAAAATAATTTACTAAATTGTGATACCAAGTTGAATAAATGATTGCCAATTTAATTCCTGAACAGCAAATTTAATGAACATAAATGATAGATTATTTAAATAATAGTAACTGTTAATGCGGTGCATTATTAAATTTTTAAATTGTTATTTTTACTATCTATGACTGTACATAAGGTAAATAATTTATATTCTGAATATATTTCACGTTAATTAATTATCTTATTATTACTTTAATTACAGTAGGATGGATTAATTACTATCAGTCTATCGAGGTTTTGCTAAACAATAATTCATACACAATGATCTTCATGAAAAACATCATTCATTCTGTAATTTGTTTACCTTGGTTGAAAGGTGGCGAATCAATGCCCTGAAAAAAACCCTTTGTTTTAAAATTATAATTTTAAAAAGTTGTCTAAGATTTTATTTTCTATTTTAATCTTGTTTGCATGATTTTAAAGTAAATTTGTGTGACTCTAAAGGGAGTGGTTATAATATCTTTATGTAACTGTATTATATATATTTAAATTATTATACCCAGATTATTTACTTATCTGATGATTTTTAACCAATAACCATTTTAAAATTTTAATAATTGTTTTTAACTATTTATTTGTGGAATACAATTCTACATAGTATAATTTATTAGTTTGATCTATATGTCCGAATGTTTAAGGACATACACAAGAAAGAACAACTGACCATGATTATTCATTTAGATAACGCTAAATTGATTGATTCAAAAATTGTAAATCTTGGAAATGAAAACTAAATTTCAATAGTCTAAATGTTGTTATTGTTTTAAAATGGCCAAAGGTCCACTGCATTCCAAGCTAAACTTGGCCCCAGTGATTGTATATATCTATTGTTAAGATTACTGTACATGTTTGTATTTATTAAAGACTGGAATTAAATCTTTGTCTATACTTAACCCCATTATATTTTACAATTTGAATTTTGTATTGTTAAGGATCTTAAATTAGTCTAATTCCTGAATGGGTCATAAAACAAAAAGTTGTTCCATATGTATGCTGTAGGTAGACTTCAAATCAAATTCTTTGACTCGTTCGAATAATATTGTACATTAATGCAAAAATGTACAAAGACTGGAGTGTAACAATAATTTATAACCTAACATAACTATAGCTAATAAAGTTAACATAAGTAAAATCTATACTATTATAAAATTGAGGTGGTGTCTGTCTGTCTGTCTGCCCGACTAAAATACTTAACCGAGACAGCCAAAACTAAGCACAAAGATTGTCCCACATATCTATGATTGTCTTGGGCCTATTCATTTCCCTGAGTTTCTCACGGGCTATGCCCCTTGGACGTCCAAAGTTTCGAGGTGATTTTTCCAAAAGATATTGATGGGAAAACTAACAATTTTTAACTTTGTATTGACATTTTAATGTAAAAAAGCATAACTGCCAAATGCCACTACCCGTAACGGTAGGTACCTAAACTTGAGGTTCCCCACTGTTACTTTGGGTGACGTAGCTCAGGAATGAAACTCAGCACTCGCTTACAAAACCGAAACTGGAACCCCAATATTAGTACCTATGCTGTAAAAATCATAGTTCAAAAGTTACTGCATTTTTTTACTACCCCCATAAAATATCATAATTACTCTCACTGCTCACCCATTTTAAGGGTTGTTGACAAGCTATAAGGGAAAACGTATGTTTCAGTTTTCTGATACATTTATTTTATTTTCAGTCCATTAGTGGGAAAGACAAACAGTTTATGGTGAGCTCAGCACCACTGGGTCTCAACCTTATCACAGTTAAAATTTGTAATTGGACCTAACCAAACCACCTGCTCTCTGCTCTCTGACCACTAGAACAGCCTTCTGTTGATTTTATTGAATGGTCTTGAATCGTCAGTTCTATTCGCTTTGACTTTATCAATTTTACTAAAAAATGCTACCAGTAGGTTCCAGTGGTTTTTACCAAAGTGTATCAGTATGCAATTAAGTTTGATAGGCCCTGAAGTCTAAAAGGGGAGTGCAAAAAGCCTACATGTGGCTAACTAGTATCATTCTTGCATTCAATCAGACAATTATTGCCTCAAAGCTCAAATGCTTGGTCCTTAATCACTTAGTCTTTCTTCTGTAGGAAATAGTTATTTGTTTATCTAGTGCACATAGAGACTTTGCACTCGTGTTTTACATTATATTTTGTCTACAGTTTCCTGACAAAGCAGGCTTTCTTGCTCCGATTATAGCACGCAAAGTAGCTAATTTGCTGCATTGACGGTGCTTACTTTTGCTGCACTCATTTCACTTTGCCACACTCCAGTCAGTATTCCAACCAAACAACACAAAACAGTGTGTTTTAGTTTTACAAAGGCACGTAAGACATGTACGCTTGAAAATAAGTTGGCAACACGTATACTATGACTACAATCAGCTGGTCCAGCGTTTCACAGCCTCACAAACAAATCATCACCCCTGCTGCAGCATACCTGCAGACTAAGCGAATTTCCGTTTGTCCGATTGGATTTAAACTGAAATGCCTTCTTAAAAATATCACATTTATTCCCCATTTAAAAATAATTAGTTTAACTAGTACTTAGGTTTGCTGCAACAGGGAGGGTAAAAAAGTATTTTTTGTTGTAAAATGTTAATAGTTTAGTAAGAAATAAATGTATTTTACAAATTTTATCAAAATATGTATGTTTATAAACAAGCAAACTACAACAGTTGACTTATTCTCCATAAAAATAACATGAGTATTTTAAATTTAAAATTTTTATGAATTAACCATTAGGCGCACAATAACACTTCAATATACTAAACTATTTGTTTTTTTAAGCTCTACAAAATGGTTTGAAAATAAATTGTGAACTTTTGTGTTTTTGGGGTCAAAAATGGGAAAATCATATTTTTACCCCACAAAACCCCGTTCCCATAGTCCGATCATGCTGGTTCACAAACTCGTTCGAATAAATGTCGGTTTACAGCGCTTATACCAAATTTAATCAAAATCAAATAATTTTTTACTCGAGTTATTGTGTTAACGGATATAGAGGGCGAGTTTTAAATGAGTCCCCCCCCCCTACTTTTTTCTACATTTCTTAAGATATCAACTCCGGACCACGTCAGATCATTGTAGAGTAGTAAGTACTTCATTTTGACTGGGATAAATGTTTGGCCGCCATCTTGGATTCACCATATTGGATACGAAGTATTTTTTCAAATGTAAAGGTAGGGTTGTGACCCATCGTTTCAAACTAGATTTTTACGATGAATACGATGATGCTGCAATCAAGTTTTTTTAAAATCTTGATCCATTCTAAAGTTATGAGAACTTTTTATAACTTTATTTTTAGCCCATTTTAACATTGTGCATTTCGAACCTAAGACTATAATCGCAAAATAGTGCTAGATAAAGATAAATATACACCACCAGTCATTGTCAACCTATTTAAACTTGGTTATGACGGATATATTTTTTCGATTTCGACCGCCATCTTGGATCCACCATTTTGAAATGATATGAATTATTTTAAATATGAAGGTGGTGTTGTGACCCATCATTTTGAATTAGTTTTTTATGCTAAATTCGATGCCACAATCCATTTTTCATTTTCATATTTCGTTTTTGAAATATTGACATTTTAAATAAAATAATTGTAATATTTCACCAAGAAAGCTTGATAACAAAAAAACGGATTGCGGCATTGACTTCAGCATAAAAAATTAATTCAAAATGATGGGTCACAATACCACCTTTATATTTAAAATGATCAATCTCGTTTAAAAATGGCGGATCCAAGATGGCGTCAGAAAAAATACATTCGTCACAACCAAGTTAAAATAGGTTGAAATATACTTATCTTTATCTAGCACGATTTTGTGATTGTGGTCTTAGTTTCTAAATGCATAATGTTAAAATGGGCTATAAATAAAGTTATAAAAAGTTCTCATCACTTTAGAATGGATCAAGATTTTTTTAAACGGATTGCAGCATGGTATTCCACGTAAAAATCTAGTTTGAAACGATGGGTCACAACCCTACCTTTACCATAAAAAAACATAAAACATACTCCGTACTATATAAGCATAACCCTTCACTTCAAATCAGTGTAAGAAAAGAGGTTTGACCATATACATTGACTATTTTGCAGCTGCAGTAAATGAACTCACGTACCTTGGACATTTAAATTGCATGTCATGTAACCTTCTCTATACACACGTTGAGATTTTCTTGAGGCCCGGCTTCACCTGAGACGAGGAAGGGGGGTGGCGGAATTGTACCCCCCTGGAATTGTACCCCCTGCTGGTTTGTGACGTCACGATGACGTCTCATTTTCTCGACCAAAACGGCGTGTACGGGCTGGAATTGTACCCCCCTCATAAATCTCTGATATTGTTATGCACGAGTGGTTTGATTAAATCCACTGGCATCTAAAAAACTGTACGGACCGGAATTGTACCCCCCTGGAATTGTACCCCCTCAGTTAGAACTCACTTTTATTTGACCAGTGTACGGGGTGGAATTGTACCCCCCTGGAATTGTACCCCCCGTCAGTCTAGCCCTTTTTATAGGACCGGAATTGTACCCCCCTGGAATTGTACCCCCTGGTCACGGCAGAAGAAGATGTACGGCCCGGAATTGTACCCCCTGGAATTGTACCCCCCCCCCATTCAACCGAGGAGCTTGTCTATTATGATTACCAACTAAAATTAAAACAATAGTTATGTTGGATATTAGAGGGGAATCACACGAATGTGAAATGAAGCAAGTTACCCGACACCTAATGAATTGCTTGTTGTAAAAGGATATTCTAAGAAACTGCAAATTAAGGCTATTCAGAGTAACGTGCGAGAGGCCTAACAGACTTATTTGTACGTTATTCATTAATATTTTCTTAACCTTCCCAAGTACTAACTGTTCATGGGTTAGCTTAAATTCACAAAGGTTAAAACTTTGACAAACTGTGAACTACTTTGTACCAGATACCTACATTCGGGACCACGTAAGTTTGCAGTTGAGGGAGAAGCCTATTTACCATATGGTTTTGAATGGACCAATGAGAACCGTGCGGTGTTGCCAAATCTAACACCGTCAGTTAATAGCAGCTGATTTGATAATATTGCTTAGTATATTTTAATTAGTGTTGTCAACGGGCGATGTGGCAAAGTCGCTCTAGCCTTGTCTTGTGATTGGCTGGCACCATCTGCAAACTTACGTGGTCCCGAATTAAATTTTACTACAACAGGTATTTTGTCTACCTTTGCCAGTAATAACTGTTCATAATTTGTTACCGAATGAACAATAATGCACATTATGTTTGAATGAACAAAAATGAAATACATCAACTTCTTTTCACGGTCATATTAAACTACGTTGAAAAAGAACGAAGAAAAGTGACGTGAACAAATAAACATTCCATTCTTATAGCGTAGTTATTGTATACAAACTAGTTTAGCTCAGTTATTAGGCCTATGTGCAGTAATCAAAAGGTAAGTATTTCAAATCTATATAACCAAGCCGAAATTCGCTGCTTGCGACTCCTCTTAAAAACAAAGTTTCTTAGGATTTGCACTGCTTGTATCGTTTTAAAAAAATCAATCAGCTTGGGTTATAAATTTATTTAGAAGCTTTGTCCATGAGGGAGTCAAGCTCAGCGTTAATTCGTAAACGTTTATTCCTTATTGCTTGGCCTTTTATTAAGTCACTAAGGAAGGCAACAGGTATATCCTGCGATCACAAGAACATCGCAGTTATCCCAAACGATCACAGCAAATTTGTCGTCATCTCCCACTATTACGGCAACGCTGTTTGTTATCATCTCTTGCGATCTCTGATACAATGTGGTAATTTACCGAAAACGTGATTTAAGAGACACAAAAACAAGTCGTGATAAGGTAACTAACTAAAAAATACCATTTATAATTGGATATTTA